GATCACCGTTTTCAATTTCGTTGATAAGTACCACACGAAAATATTCACATGTTAATGGAGTTTCAAAGTGTTTTATCGAATGGTTTGAAGATTGGTATCTCATTTACTTTGTTATCGGATTTACATGTTTTCGCGTCTATATGGTTTCTTTTGTTCACTAGTCGATCTGAGGCGAATTATTTCGTGTCAATGTATCAGCACGAATGCTGTTAAAAAAAAGTAATATCATAAAATGACACAAGCACTGGTATTTGCAACTAGCAAAACATGAATTCTACAATGTCCTGGCGACCCGTATTTGCTATCTGTTTTAGGTTCTGCGGATGTAATGGTTCGTATGAGGCAAATGAGCTTCATATCACCCATGTTTTATTTAGAACTTAAACATCCATTTTCGTCTGAGTTTGCAACCTCATTGTTTGCAGGTGCCTATTCCCTTTGGTGTTTTGGTGCCCTCTGATGTACGTGTATCCCGGACTCCCTAGTGCTTTGTGTGAAACAGAGTAAGTGAGTTACAATTGGCTCTGGTCTGTTCTGTTCCTGCTAGTTGTAAGTTTTATCGCTAGTATTTATACGATAATTTCTTTTCTCAAAATTTGTTTGCAATAATTTTTTGTTTATTCGTAGTCTAACTGCGTGAAATTTCGGAGGCATAGAGTTTCTAATCCTTTCTTTACGCTTGGAAATTTGGAAAGGATTTTTCAACTCAATTAAGAGTTGTCTTGGTCAAGTGTGAAGTTGACGAATAAATGTCAGGCGTCAACGTCTAGTGTGTGGGTTGAGGCATGGAAATGTGCAAGATTCTAAAAAACGCTAGGCGCTAGTCGGACGGCAGGTTGGCGCCTAACGCCTAGGCGGGTCTAGGCGGGCGCCTAGGCGGCCTAGGCGGATTTAAGTAATTTTATTGTACATCATATAAATTAATTCAATTTACTACATAATATGTGAATATACATTGAATAATATGTTATTTTTTAACCTTTTGTATTATTTTCTAAGCCTATAAATTTTTTTGGGCCTTTTTCATTAATAAAATGTAAGGTTTGGACCTTGTATTCCTTGTTTCACCATTGAATAGAATTGTCCAGTACATTATAGATGGGCGCAATGGACCCTAACCAAACCCAAAGCCATCTTATCCATTTGTCATCTTATATTTCCTACAGCCTCCCGATTCCCAATCAATGCATTCACCGACTCACCTTTTTCACAATAAAACCCTAAGCTGCTCACTGCAAAAACCATTGTTGCCGTCAGCCATATCATCACATCCGCAATTGCAGATCCATACTCTCTCTCGTCTGGTAAACCATCGTCACACCGAGAGGGAGACGGCGCGCCGCAAAAGTAACTGATGCTGGAAGCGGAAAGGGTGGAATCTCAGCATCTACTGGTGTGAGTGATACTCTTAACTCTCGACTCGAAAGCCTGATTAATAAAAGCCCTGTTGTGCTGTTATGAAGGGAAAACCAGATGAACCCAAGTGTGGTTTCAGCCAAAAGGTAGTCGATATCCTTGTGCAAGAAAAGGTGGACTTTGCTTGGGGAGAGAAGACGGTGAGGCGCAGAGCACCCAGATTGGCCAGCGTCCGCCTGCTTCTTGCTAGACCAGTCGTATTTTCCCAGGCCGCCCAGACCATCTAGCTTCCTTCTAGCCCGCCCAGCGTCCGTTTAGGCCTCCCAGGAGTCCGCCTTACGCCGCCTAATAACTTTACCGATTTAGTAAACGATTTTGGGTTAATCGGGGCGGAGCACCGCCGTCTAGGCGGCCGCTAGAGCGTCTTTTAGAACACTGGAAATGTGTCACATGTGAACACGAGAAACACAACACATAACACATAATAATAATAATAAAAAGAATATCTAGAAGAGTGCAGCAGATGTTCTGATGAGTGATTTTCAAATAAAGCAAACAGCAGAGCAGCAAGTGAACCGAGTTGATCATGTCTTTTACCAAAACACTTGCAAAATCTTCAAGTAACAATTAATCAAATTAATTAAACTAGAAATTCAAATGGACAAATTTGTAAACATCTTCACACTCGACAAAATTAGCCAATTGGCTAATGAAATGGACAAATTTGCAAATGCCCATGGAAATTCAGAATTCAGGAACCACAAACATATGCATATAATATAATAAAAAGTAAATGAAAAACAGAAAAACCTTGCGACAAAAAAAAACAAAGGAAATTCAGAAAAACTTGTACTTTCTGGTAGCTTCTCGGAACGGCCGACCCAATGAAGCTTTCGGCGGGCCCGGCAGCGGCAATCCATTGAGCTTATTGGAAGTCATTACGCGTCCTTTATTGGAAGTCAATACGCGTCCTCATTACGCGTCCCCTTTATTTTTTGGAAAGCTGTCATTACGTCCCTTGGAAGTCATTACGCAATCCTTGAAAGTCATTACGCGTCCCTTGAAAGCTGTCATTACACGTCCCTTGGAAAGCTGTCATTACGCGTCCCTTGGAAGTCCTTTATTGGAAGTCAATACGCGTCCCTTTTATTTTTTGGAAAGCTATCATTACGTCCCTTGGAAGTCATTACGCAATCCTTGGAAGCCATTACGCGTCCCTTGAAAGCTGTCATTACGCGTCCCTTTTATTTTTTGGAAAGCTATCATTACGTCCCTTGGAAGTCATTACGCGTCCCTTGGAAAGCTGTCATTACGCGTCCCTTGGAAGTCAATTCGCGTACGATTTATTTGTGCCTTGGACAAAGGGAAAAACTCCACCAAAAAATAATAGATCATCATGCAACTCAAAACCATGACATTTCATTATATACTCCTGTTGTTGTTCGCATTGCCACTGATCAAAACGATATCAATATTTCCAGGAAAACAAGCAGAATCACTCATCAAATGGAATGACCACTTGTCTCCATCATCATGGCCACCTTCGCCACTCAATTCATGGTCCCTCACCAACCTCTGCAACTGGACTACCATAGTCTGCACCAAAACCAGAAGTCTCCAAAATAGACCTCTCCGGTATAAACATGTACGGAACATTGGCTCATTTCGACTTTTCCCTATTTCCAAATCTCATCCACTTCAACCTGAGTGGCAACCATTTCCTAGGGCCTATACCATCTGCAATTAGAAATCTCTCCAGGCTCACAACTTTGGACTTGAGTGGCAACTTCTTTCTTGACGACACTCCATACTCTAAAGGCAACCAATTCTCTGGCCCAATTCCGGACAGTATAGGTTTGATTTCTGGTCTTCAACATATTGACCTGAGTTGGAATCGTCTGGAAGGGAAAATTTCACCCTCTATAGGCCAACTCAGGGAGCTCCAGTACCTTGATCTTTCAGCCAACTCATTAATCTCGTCCAAACTTGAAAACAATAGCTTCAGCAGAACCATTTCAGCAAAAATTGGGCTGTTGACACAATTGCAGTATTTAAGCCTTTATTCTAACAAATTCAGCGGAGAGATTCCTCAAAGTCTAGGCAATTTATCTCAGCTTCAGGTACTCTATTTGTTCGATAACCACTTGACAGAAGAGATTCCTCAGAGTATAGGCAAATTGACTCAGCTTCAGGTACTCGAATTGTCCCGTAACCACTTGACAGGAGAGATTCCTCAGAGTATAGGCAAATTGACTCAACTTCAGGTACTCGAATTGTCCCATAACCACTTGACAGGAGAAATTCCTCAGAGTCTAGGCAAATTGACTCAGCTTCAGGTACTCTATTTGTCCCATAACCACTTGACATGAGAGATTCCTCAGAGTCTAGGCAAATTGACTCAGCTTCAGGTACTCCATTTGTCCCATAACCACTTGACATGAGAGATTCCTCAGAGTCTAGGCAATCTATCTCAACTTCAGATATTCAATTTGTCCGCTAACAACTTGACAGGAGTGATCCCACGGATTTCAGGTATGTTGGACCTCAAGCTTCTTTCATTGTCTAATAACAATTTAACAGGGGTAATACCAACTCATCTGTTTCTCGCCGCAGGCTTAACACGTTTGTTCCACTTGGATCTCAGCAGCAATTCACTATCGGGTGCAATACCATCAGAATTGTGCATGCTCACAAGATTAAAGTATTTCAATGCCTCACACAATAATCTCTCAGGCGAAATCTCATCAGCATTATATCACATGTTTACTCTAAGTAGATATGACTTCTCATATAACAAATTGATAGGGTCATTCCCAACTTGTGGCATTTTCAAAAATGCGCCAAAAAGTGCTTTTGTTGGTAACCATGGCTTACGGAGTCATGCAGAAGGACTAACTGAATGTAAATCCTCCAGTACAAATTCCAAAAGTGCTATCAAGAATATAGTATCTGTTGGTAACCATGGCTTACGGAGTCATGCAGAAGGACATTTGAATGTAAATCCTCCAATACAAATTCCAAAAGTGCTATCAAGAATATAGTATATGTTTTCTTTATTTCCTTACGGAGGCAATTGCAACTGTTGCAAAACCCAACAAAAGCATTTTTTGGCACATTTTTTAAAATGCCACAAGTTGGGAATGACCCTGTCAATTTATTATATGAAGTCATATCTACTTAAGAGTAAACATGTGATATAATGCTGATGGGATTTCGCCTGAGAGATTATTGTGTGAGGCATTGAAATACTCTAATCTTGTGAGCATGCGCAATTCTGATGGTATTGCACCCGATAGTGAATTGCTGCTGAGATCCAAGTGGAACAAACGTGTTAAGCCTGCGGCGAGAAACAGATGAGTTGGTATTACCCCTGTCAAATTGTTATTAGACAATGAAAGAAGCTTAAGGTCCAACATACCTGAAATTCGTGGGATCACTCCTGTCAAGTTGTTAGAGGACAAATTGAATATCTGAAGTTGAGATAGATTGCCTAGACTCTGAGGCCTCGTTTGGCAGCTCGGACTGTACTGACTATTTCTATCGGATAGGATAAATAGTCATCGGATAGTACTGACTAAATTAATCGGGCGTTTGGTGCAGTATCGGATTAATGACCGTATTATTTATACTGTGTTTGGTATTATACCGGATAAGAGAAATCAAACTTAAAATAAAATTAAAAAAAAAAAGAAGTGAAATCATCTTTTTTTTTCGCAGATCTCTCTGCACCCCCCAAACTCCATCCCTCTCTCTCTTTCGCAGATCTCTCTGCACCCCCCAAACCCAGTTTGATGATTACTGGAAAAGAAAAAGAATAGAAAAAAACAAAGTTGTCAAATGCAGGAAGAACCCAGCAGCCACAAAGTTGTCCCAAATCTCTCCGTCCCACCCCCAAATCGCCCAAATCCATCAACAAAATCAGGGAACAATTAAGCTAAAAACTCATAAAACATCTCCAGTCCTATAATTCTCTGCAATTCCTAGAGAAACCCAATTCGAAAAGTTAGCGTTTTGCAGCTCGAGTTCTGAGAATTCTGCAGAAAGAAGGAGTTGGGTTGCTGGGAGCGGCGGAGGAGATGTGGAGGTTCGGGGGTCGGTGTTATTGGGGAAGGAAGGAGTGGCGGAGCAATGGGGGGACGAAGTGAGCGAGAGAGGGGGACGAAGTGAGCGAGAGAGGGGGAGGACGAAGTGAGTGAGAGAGATGGACATTCTACCCGACTAAATTATACAGAGGTTTTGGTTGGGATAAATAAGCGGGTGGGAGGTGTATAAAATGAGTGGGCCGGATTAAATAATCCGGTGCTTATTTAATACGAAACTCACCAAACATCTGTTTCGTACTATTAATACTATCCGGTGCTCTTATACGACGTGCCAAACGAGGCCTGAGGAATCTCTCATGTCAAGTGGTTATGGGACAAATGGAGTACCTGAAGCTGAGTCAATTTGCCTAAACTCTGAGGAATCTCTCCTGTCAAGTGGTTATGGGACAATTTGAGTACCTGAAGCTGAGTCAATTTGCCTATACTCTGAGGAATCTCTCCTGTCAAGTGGTTATCGAACAAATAGAGTACCTGAAACTGAGATAAATTGCCTAGACTCTGAGGAATCTCTCCGCTGAATTTGTTGGAATAAAAGCTTAGATACTGCAATTGTATCAACAACCCAATTTCTACTGAAATGGTTCCGCTGAAGCTATTGTTTTCAAGTTTGGACGAGATAAATGAGTTGGCTGAAAGATCAAGGTACTGGAGCTCCCTGAGTTGGCCTATAGAGGGTGGAATTTTCCCTTCCAGACGATTCCAACTCAGGTCAATATGTTGAAGACCAGAAATCAAACCTATACTGTCCGGAATTGGGCCAGAGAATTGGTTGCCTTTAGAGTATGGAGTGTCATCAAGAAAGAAGTTGCCACTCAAGTCCAAAGTTGTGAGCCTGGAGAGATTTCCAATGGCAGATGGTATAGGCCCTAGGAAATGGTTGCCACTTAGGTTGAAGTGCGTGAGATTTGGAAATAGGGAAAAGTCGAAATGAGCCAATGTTCTGTACATGTTCATACCGGAGAGGTCTATTTCGGAAACTGTTCTGGTTTTGGTGCAGACTATGGCAGTCCAGTTGCAAAGGCTGTTGAGGTTGGTGAGGGACCATGAATTGAGTGGCGAAGGTGGCCATGATGGAGACAAGTGGTCATTCCATTTGATGAGTGATTCTGCTTGTTTTCCTGGAGATATTGATGTCGTTTTGATCAGTGGCAATGCGGACAGCAACAGGAGTATATAATGAAATATCATGGTTTTGAGTTGCATGATGATCTATTATTTTTTTGTGAAAAATGATATTCTTACCACAATTTTATATTATATTTCTTTACCATTTTAGGTAATAGATGAGTTGGACAGGCACATAATCTAAATTAATTAGCATTTAATCAAAATGTTAATCAATAATTAATAAAAAATTGTTAATTAAATGATGATTGTGGTATATGAGAAGTCTCATTCTTCCACCTAAGATTATTTAAGCGTTTTAATTAATAAAAAGATTAAAATTAAATGATGTAGCTTGTCCAACTTATCTACCACCTAATATGGTAAAGAAATGTGATATAAAATTGTGGTAAGAATAACATTACTCTTTTGTGGTAAGAATAACAATATAGGCACCCAAGCATCCCATGACACACTATGATTGAATAACCTGCACAAATATCCCAATAAACCTACAGATTAGTCAAAATAATAGAAGAGTGTTTGATGTTGAATGTCGAAAATACATAAACAAAGCAGGTGGACGGATATAAATTTCCGAAGAGATCAACAGTGCGATCAGATGGGGATCCATAAAATTCAAGCCATAAGTGGGAATCAAAAGGATTGAAGCTGTCAGGCATAAAACATCGTTACTGATTAATAGAAATGGAAGTGTATAAGAAGAAAGATACTCACTTTCTGAAAAATGACTTTGAAGGCAATGACACAACAGGTACATACTTCTTCATTGAACCCAACCTTTCAACATAATGCTAATAAAGGAAAACAGCAATCTTGTTAATTTCCTCATTGCTCGAAGCAAGCATAATATTCTTTTCATTAAATTTAAATAGCAATATGTCAGATTCATAGATGTCACCTCGAGGCCAATGTTACCTTGAGTACAGAGAGCAAAAGCCCCAAAATCTGAAGAAAAAAAAAAGTCTCCCGAGTATGAAAACAAAACCAAATTAAACACAAATATAGAATCCGAGGTTAGAAACAAAATCCCCCAAAATTACAAAAACAAAATTTGAACACAAAACCTATTTTTAAATCCAAATTTACACATCTAAACACACAATATTGAAAACACAAAATTACTCCAGTAGATAACTCATAGAAAACAATACCTTTTATGGGCTAAGTTTTTCTTTCGAATCGACACCAGATTCACTACTTTCAGCAAGAAGACATTATGGTTTGTTTTAGAGTGAAAGTACTGAAGAAACAATCGTTTTCAGCAAGAAATTGAAAGAGAGAAGTCGAGGTTTGAGAGCGAGAGAAGGGTGAGAGAGAGACGAACCTTCTTGCATGCTTGAGAGAGAGCTCGGCTTTTCCATCCGTCTTTCCTTCCACAATGAGCAACACATGTATAGGAGTTTAGAACCAAATGCAATAGCCTGAATAACCTGGTCTCCCTCGTTTGGAAGAATTGAGGATCACTAATATGTTCTCTTCAATTCTTCCCACGTTTTTCATACTGCTTAAAAAGTGCAATTAAAAACATGTAAAAGAAGTATTACAAAAAAAAATATGTGTTTAGTCAAACACCTGGTCTCCCTCTAGTAGATAAGTTTGACCAAAAATTGAAAACGTCCAGTTTTCTGTATCTTATCCCCGTTGCTGGAAACACCCGGTGCCAAAACGCCCAAATATTACCTCCCACCTACCATGCAATGCATAATACAATCAGTATCCTATAAAAGGTCGTACCCAGTGCACAAGGCTCCCGCTTTACACAGGGTCTGGGAGAGGTGAATGTCGGCTAGCCTTACCCCCATTTATGGAGAGGCTGCTCCCAAGTATCCTATAAATACCAAAAAAATCTCTACAAATAACCATATCGACATCAAATTCCAGCAAGAAACACAATCGGAAAACAGAAAATTTTCAGAGACCAAGTCTCCCACCTAACATGCAAATTACATAGAAAGAAATTTGATTTTAGAAAAAGTGAAAAGGCTTACACAAATAGAAAAACGTATATGAGTGGCGGTAGTGGCGCCTGCGTTCAGCCAAAGACAGTTCAAACAGGAATTAAACAGCCAAGTTATGGGTATATTCAAGACTGCTTAAGATACTACAAATATTTTCAAGATAACTCTAAGATCACTTGTAGCAATTTTAAAAGATAGGTCATTCGCACAATATCTTGCCAATATGCAAAATATACCATGCAGCAATTGCTATGCAATTAAAAGCCTGGACGTGCATCCAAGTCCTTATCTTGTCCTTCTTTGCCGGCACCAACCCAAACCAAAACCAAATTAAAAAACTATTCAACTTGTATATTAATTAAACAAAAGATTTGTATATTAAAATATTATTGTAATTCCGGAATAAATGATAAAACTCTAATTTTTAAGGCAATAAAAAACAGAGCATCACAATGCAATTCTCCTTCTCTCACAAAAAAAAAAAAAAAAAACAAACAAAAAACAGAGTGAGTGATCGGAAATCCTCAGAAATAGTGAAGAAGGCAGTGCTGATAGGATACAACTACCAAGTGTCACGGGATGACTCTTTAAGCCTTCCGCCCGTGCGGCACTTAGACTTGAATACCTCGATGAACAAGCTAAGTAAGCCTTCGAAGCCTCGCTTCCCCGGATCGAATCACAAAGAAAGCTAAGATAGCTTGGAGAATGCTAAGATCACTTAGAAGATGGGAGAAAGGAAGCTTTGTATTGAAAGTTAAGAGAACTTTACAATTGCTTACAATTCTTGGATGGTTTGGCCAAATGGCCTTGCCTCCTATTTATAGGCCTAAGTCACCTCCTCAATGGAGGGTTCTAGAATCCTCTACTTACATCCAAAAATATCTAGCATAGTTCTAGATACAACTTGCCTAATCTAGATTATTCTAGGTGAGGCTTAAATATGTACACTTGTGTGGAATGTTCCGGAATGCCCTAGATTATCTTGAATGCTCCGCCACGTTCTTGATTTCTCCGGGACGTTCCAGAAGCTTCCATGAAGACAAGGCTTTATGGGCTTAGATATATGATGTCTTGGGCATTTTCTTTGTTTTTAACATGCGACCCGTGACATCCTCCCCCACTTAAGCCGTCGACGTCCTCGTCGACTCTTGCCTCTCGAATGTCTCGATCAAGTCCTTATATTGCCATAAGGACGACTCCTTCTCCCATGTTGCTTCGGAGTATGGTAGCCCCTTCCATTTGACAAAGTACTCCACATGCTTTGGTTGTCTTGGTCGCACCACGACACGCTTAGCTTCAGTGTTCTCCACTTCTTTGTCAAATGCCTCTGTCATCAAAGGGTGCTCGATGAGACTCACCTCGACTTGGTTCCTCATCGTCCGCATGATAAGGCTTCAAGTTGCTCACATGGAACACCGGGTGAAACTTGAGGCGGGGTGGGAGTTCCACAACATGCGCGGCTTTGCCAACCTTCTTGATGATAGGGAATGGTCCCTCATATTTCCGCAACAAGCTCTTGTGCAAGCCACGAGTACTCTTGTGCTGAGACGCATTGAGCTTCACAAAGACTTGGTCGCCAGTTTGAACTCCACATTCCTTCGTTTTCGATCCGCCCATTTCTTCATCTTCTTTGAAGCCTTATCCAAATGAGCTCGAGCAAGTTCGTGGGCTAATTGCCACTCCTTAGCGGTTTTGAAAGCGGCTGGACTATTCCCCGTGTAGCCAGTCATGACCGTGTTCGGGGTCAAGGGTTGTTGCCCTATAGCCAACTCGAACGGACTTTTCCCCGTCGACTCCGAACGTTGCAAGTTATAAGAGAATTGGGCAACATCAAGTAACTTAGCCCAATCTCGTTGATTGGCACTAACATAGTGCCGCAAATAAGTCTCCAACAATGCGTTAACCCGCTCCGTTTGTCCATCAGTTTGGGGATGAAAAGCTGTGGAGAAGTCTAACTTTGAGCCAAGTAGCTTGAAGAGCTCCTTCCAAAATCTACCCGTGAAGCGAGCATCTCGATCGCTGACTATGCTCCTCGGAACACCCCAATACTTCACCACGTGCTTTAGAAATAAGCGTGCAGCTACTTCGGCTGTGCACTCCACGGGTGCGGGTATGAAAGTGGCATACTTGGTGAATCTATCGACCACGACGAAGATAGATCCACATCCATCAGACTTGGGCAAATGTGTGATGAAATCCATGGTTAAACACTCCCATGGTCTTGATGGGGTGGGAAGTGGTTCCAACAGTCCTCCCGGTTGCTTTTGTTCCACTTTGTCTTGTTGGCACACAAGACAAGTCTTCACGTACGAATCTACATCATCCCGCATTTGTGGCCAATAATAAGCATCGCTCACCAAAGCCAACGTGCGGTGAGTGCCAGGATGTCCTGCCCACATTGAGTCATGGCACTCCTTAAGGATTTCTTTCCTTAAGCTTCCCCACTTTGGGACATAGATCCGCTTGCCCTTGGTGTATAGCAAGCCGTCCTCAAGCCAAAACCTTCTTGTCTTCCCTTCCTTGACAAACTCCACAATGTTCTTGGCTTGGACGTCATGTGATAAACCTTCTCGGACACGGCCCAAGAGATGGCTTTGCGGCTTGAGTACCGTAGCCATTAACTCTACTCGTCTACTTAGAGCATCGGCCACCACATTCTCCTTTCCTTGCTTGTACTCTAGCTTGTAATCAAACTCCGCTAAGAACTCTTGCCACCTTGCTTGCTTAGGTGTGAGCTTTTGTTGGGTTTGAAAGTAGCTAGTGGCAACGTTGTCCGTCTTGATGATGAATGGGGTACCAAGCAAGTAATGCCTCCAAACTCTAAGGCAATGGACGATGGCGGTCATCTCCTTTTCATGGGTCGTGTACCTCTTCTCGGCATTGTTTAGCTTGCGACTTTCATAGGCTATCGGATGTCCCTCTTGCATCAACACTCCTCCTATGGCAAAGTCGGAAGCATCAGTGTGCAACTCGAATGGCTTACTAAGGTCGGGCAACCTTAGTACAGGCTCCTCCATTAGGGCCTTCTTCAACCTCTCAAAGGCCTCTTGACACCGGTCCGTCCATTCCCATGCCTTGTTTTTCTTAAGAAGGTCTGTTAAGGGTGCTGCTATGGCTGAATACCCTTTTATGAATCTCCGATAGTAGTTGGCTAGCCCCAGAAAAGATCGTAGTGTTGGTACCTTGGTCGGCGGTTCCCACTCTTGAATGGCCTTGATCTTGCCCTTTTCCATCATAAGTTTCCCCTCCTTTATCTTGTGGCCTAGAAATTCTACTTCTTTTGTGGCAAAGGAGCATTTCTCCTTCTTGACATAGAGTTCATGCTCCCGAAGGGTCTTGAACACTATGCGCAAGTGCTTGACGTGCTCCTCCAATGTCTTGCTATAGACAACGATATCATCAATGTAAACCACAACAAACTTGTCAAGATAAGGGTGGAATACCTTGTTCATCAATGTGCAGAATGTTGCGGGGGCATTGGTCAGACCAAATGGCATGACTTTATACTCGAACGATCCATATCTGGTCACCATCGCCGTCTTCGATTCGTCTCCAGGGGCTATCCTCACTTGGTAGTATCCCGATCGAAGATCTAACTTTGTGAAGTACCTTGCTTCACCAAGTTGATCGAATAAGTCGGCGATCAACGGAAGTGGGTACTTGTTCTTGATGGTAATCTTGTTCAATGCTCTATAGTCGATGCACAACCTTAGGCTACCTTCTTTCTTGCGTTGGAACAAGACGGGTGCACCATATGGGGACTTGGAGGGTTGGATGTAGCCAGCATCAAGTAGCTCGTTGAGTTGCTTCCTCAATTCCTCCAACTCGGGTGGCGACATCCTATAAGGTGATTTGGAGGGAGGCTTAGCACCAGGCTCCAACTCAATTGCATGGTCGACCTCTCTCCTTGGTGGCAACTTCTTTGGCAGTTCCTTAGGCATCACGTCCGCAAACTCCACAAGGACGTCTTCCACTTGTTTCGGCAAAGGCCCGTGCTTCTCCTCCCCTTCATTCAACATTAGGGTTGCAAGAAATGTGGCCTCGCCTTTCTTCCAAGACTTGGCAAATTGAATTGCCGACAAGTGCTGGGTACACTTCTTGGCTTGCCTTTCCAATGGCACCAGGCAAGGTTGTCTTCCGTCGGCTAGGATACAGAAGATATTGTAGAAGGGAATGGGAAAGGCTCGTACCTTGTCCATGAACTCTAACCCAATGACTACGCCATAGTCGTCCATCTTGACTACGGTGAAGTCGATATTTCCCTTCCATGTGCCAATGTCTACGTGCACATTACGCGCAACTCCAACAATGGGGGTGGCAGCGGAATTTACCGTCTTCACGCTACCAGGCTCCTTGGTGACTCGGAGGCCAAGCCTTGTGGCTTCCTCCGACGTCATGAAGTTGTGTGTTGCTCCCGTGTCCACCAACACACGCGTCGTCTTGTCACCAGTCTTGACGTCGACGAACAATGATCCTCCCCCAACTTGAGCCTTAGGTTGTGGGAGGGTTGTCTGGATGGCATTCAGTAGACGGATGCATCCCATCGTTGCATCGTTACTCTCCTCGGCCTTGTCCTCCTTGAAGGCCATGGCCTTAAGGGCCTTCTTTTGTGGGCAATCTCGCATCATGTGAGGGCCGTCGCATAGGTAACAAGTGGGTTGCCAAGACTTACCTTTGCCTTTGTCATGCTTATCGGCTTTCTTCTCCTTCGGTTTGCTTGTCTCGGCCTTGTCCTTCGACTTATGTTCTCCCCCACTTCTCTCATGGTTACCCTTCTTCCCGTGGACTTGGAATCACCTTGGTGGCTTGATTTAAACTCAATCAAGGATTCGGCAGCGGCAATGGCATCAAACAATGTTTGCACGTGTCTCCTTTGTAGTTCGAGTTTTGCCCAATTTTGCAGTCCACTCATGAAGTACATGAGCTTGTCTTCCTCTAACATGTTGGGCACCTCGAATAACAAGCTCACGAAGGCGTTGACATAGTCTTTGACGCTCCCCGTTTGCTTGAGCCACCTTAGTTTCTCCTTGGCTTCGTACTTGGCATTTTGGGGATAGAAGTGCAGCATAAGATCTTTCTTAAACTCATCCCAAGTGGTGAGAGAGAACGTACCTTGCTCAATCTCCATGCTCCGACGACGCCACCACATAAGGGCATTGTCAGCTAAGAACATGGTTGCCGTTGAGATTTTGGACTCATCATCTTCAAGCTTCAGGTACTTGAAGTATCGCTCCACGTTCCACACGAATGTGTCGAGCTCCTTTGCTTCCCTCTTCCCATTATAGGATTTGGGTTTAAAGGAGTCGATTACCTTGGAGTCCAACGACTTGATTTCCCTCGGCCCTTGCACGAATTGCTTCACGACTGCTTCTTTACAAAACGCCACATCTCCCTTAAGTTCCCTTGTGTCCTTTATCTCTTCTTGAAGCGCCACAAACCTTGCCTCTATGTTGTCAAGGTGAACCTGGGACTTCCCTCCGCATCTTGTCTGCCATGGTGTTGAGAGCGCCAAGGAGCTCATCTCGTAGCCCTTCCACCAAGCCACGCAGTTCATCCTTACCATTGTCCACCATGGTTTGGATTTCCTCCTTGTCGACAACGTCCTCATCAAGTCGAGTATCGAACTCGAGTATGG